AAAAAAAAAAAAAAATAATAAACACATCTTAGTAAAACCAATACCTTCTCAGCTTCGCATCGAAGCTAAAAAAATGAAAAAGTACCCACCTCTTATAAAAAATTTTAAATTATATTTTACTGACAATGTGTTTATTGTTTATTGTGAGTAATAAACATTTAATTCAATATTTTCTCAAAGGCCAACGAATCATAATAATTATCTTTGGTTAATATTTGAGCTGGATTAGATAAATTCTCAATGTAAATGAACTATTAATTTAGAAAAAAAAAGATGAAAATTACCTTTAATTTAGGTGCGTTGAGTGCTTCGAGATTTTGATGCCTTTGTGCGATAACGCACGAAATTTTGAAATAAACATACACAACAACTACTAGGGGTACGAAAAACGATCCCATAGCTGAGAATACAACGTAACCTTTATTCTGATTGTATCCGCATTTTTTGTTTTTATGTCTGTTCTCATCGTACCTTTAGGAAAAAGGAAAATGTCAAATGAATTATTTGTAATAGTACACTAGAAATGTATACATTGTATCACAATTGATTTATCGTTAATATATAATAATAATATTACTACAGTTCTATTTCTTTACAAACCATCCAAATAATGGAGCGCAAGTAATAACCAAAGACACCACCCAAACGACTAGTATCATCAATGATGCGAGTCTTTTAGATCTTCTTTTTTTCGTATACCGTAAAGGTTTAGTAATGGCAAAATATCTGTCTATAGAAATTGCGCATAAGCTCAGTATGGACGCTGTACAAAGGCATACATCTAATGACACCCAAATATCACATATCAAACGCCCTAGTTCCCATTTCCCTGGAATCAAATTTATCTTAGTAAAACTATAAACATTTACTTAACCGAATAACTATTTTTGGTATTGTATACTTACCCATAAAATGATAAACTACGGCTATAGGCATAACAAATGTTCCTACAAGCCAATCGGCTACAGCTAAAGAAGTGACAAAACAATTAGTCACAGTTCGTAATCGCCTGGTCGTAAATACAGCAAATATAATAAGTGTATTACCAATCTGTAAAATTCAATTTTGCTAAAAAGTTGTAAGAATGATACTTATTATCAGGTTCAATGGTACAACTTTTTACATTTCCACTATTAAAATTAATTAGTATCTCATGTATCCGATTGTGATATATTGATTTAACATTTTTTAATATCATGTTTCTACTTTTAATGAAGTGTGATAAATGTGGTAAGTCATACAGCCAACAGAAAAGGCTATTTAGGCTGTAAACTGGCAGAATTAAAAGATAATCTGCTGAAAATGACTGTTGTTTAACACGTGCAATCAAATAAACTTTCATACATCAAATATGGTATTATATTTGCTCAAGAAATCAAGAAAAACAGTGGCAATGTTAGCAAAAACGACCTATTATTTAGCGATATATTGTTAACATTAAACAATGTTACCAAAACATTAACTATAATAATTAAATAGGTTGATAAACTGAAGAACATTGAATTCGAACTTGGTTAATAACAAAACACAACATTAGAAGATGTAAATACTTTAAAGATAAGACTTATTGTAAATTTAATTTTTCTATGTAAGTTTAAAGATTTCCCTGGAAACCCCTTTAACACTGTTTACTAAAACTTATCTTATCTTGGCACTATGTATAAAATGTAACGTTAAGTTTATGAAAAATTTTGATTAAGACCGAAAGGTCGTTTCCAATAAATACTTTGGAAAGAAAAATATTTCTTCTTTTAGAGGTATGCGCTGCAATGTTTCACCTCACATTTAATTTTTCTATTGTGAAACGTTAAAGAATAAGCAGAACTAACAAATGAAAAAATTGAAATATTTGCGTGTCACTTAACTAATTTAAAATGTTTTTGTATTTAAATTATATTATCATAATATTATAATTAATTTATTACACTTTATATAACATCACAAAACTTAACAAATTGTTAACAGTTTTAATATATATATATAATATAATAATTTTCACATTATTTATTTTTTCAAAATTTTTTTTAGTATCTTTTATACTGTCTTTTTAAATAAAATAATTAGATATAGTAGTTACTTTATTTTTAGAGCGTATTATTAGCATTATAAAACTTGTATTACTAAAAGCGACCTAATTCCACAGTTTTTTGAAGTGTATAACATTATAATAGCTGTATTTCTATAAATTGGTAAACTTATATAGTTTGAACGTAGAACATCGTTAAATAACTAGAAGATACTGAATATTTTTTACTCTTATAATGGTACAATATTGAGTAATTACTAGTACTGTCATCATTTATTTTATTTTATTTTTATCATATTATCAGAGAATTTGTTTAGCTAAACAATGTTTCAAGTAAAAATGCACACTTTATCTTAAATAATAAGGTGAAAATATTTTGGCGAAGTTAATGACAATAAATCTATTTATTATTTAATAAAATTTATGACTGCCAACCTTATCAAGTTTATAAATTATTGCGAATGTTCAACCTCTCTCTACTCGACAACACTGTTTCTTCTTTTCTGTTTTCTAAACAAAAACGCCACGTGTAAATAGTATTTATTTATTTGCTCATATACCTTGTCTGAACAATAAAACGTGTTCTTATTATAGTTAGACAAGTGATAGACCATGTTTAATGTGGTTCACTACGAAATTGCTTTTAATTATTAGAAAACATCACTCGACGAATTCGTTTTAAAATGTGAGAATATAAAAATAATTTTTATTTTTATTTTTATGTAATAAAGATTAAACTTTTAGACTGAATGTTTAGTGTTTATGTTTAATTATTAGATTCGACGTTAGGTACTGTAACTAATAGTTATTGATTTAGCATTTTAGCTTCGATGCGAAGCTGAGAAGGTATTAATTTTACTATGATGTGTTTTTTTATTTTTTTTTAAATTTTTTTATTTTTTTTTTTGTGTCTGTGAACGCTCAATCTCAGCTCTCGCTGGACCGATTTTGATGAACAATATGTCAAAAGATCACAAATCGTATCTAGTCGAAGACATTACCCTCAAAAATTGAAAAAAATTCCCTCGTTCCCCGTAAACGGGGGAAATCCCCCAAAAAATTACAAATTTAAAAATCGCTAATTTTCGATATTTTTTCAATTTTTTTTACTTAAAATTGCCATAACTTTTTTAAAAATGACCGAATCAATATAATTTTTTTTTTTATAGATACCTTAGATAATTACCTATCATTTTATATATTTTTGTGAACATTTGACCCTTTAACAGCCCAAAGGATGGGGTTTCAAAATGGTAACTTTTTTACAAAAAATTAACTTTTTCAACTTAACTTTTGAAAATGTTCCGGAAAGACTGACAATTTTATATATACCTTAAATTAAAGCTAATGTAATATACTTTAATTTGAAAAAAAAAAATTTGACCTCTGGACTTGTCTTCATGGTGAAAATGACTACCGTATGCAAAAATATGCTATTTTTGTGAAAAAATTCTTGATATTATATTTTACATTTTTTAACATTATGTTGCTATAACTTTTTAAAAAATGCATGAATCAACTTTATTCTTTAATGATAAATACTTTATATATACTTCTTTCATTCGACATACTTTTTTTTAAAATCGGACCATTTCCCTTTATACAGGGGGGGTGCAAACCTTTTAAAATGCGTATAGAAAGTAGAACTTTTTCAACTTAACTTTTGAAAATGTTTCGGAAAGACTGACACTTTTATATTTATCTTAAATTAAAGATTATGTAATATACTTTAATTTGAAAAAAAAAAATTTGACCTCTGGACTTGTCTTCGTGGTGGAAACGGACATCAAAGTTAAAGAAAAACGTACGATTTCCGTGAAAAAAATCTCGATTTTATATGTTATATTATTTAATTTATATTTTATATAACTTTTGGAAAAATGTATGGATCAATATTATTATTTTTTTATAATAAATATT